CCGCTACTTCACCAAGGCTCCTCTAGGCAGGTGATAATCATAGCAAATTCTCAGACTGTGATGATCCTATACCAGGCACTGTTCTGAATATTTTACATGTGCTCACTCATTTCATCTTCAAAATCACCTATCAGTAGATCCTATTTTGGGGAACATTTTGCAGATGAGGAAACTGAAGCACAGATAAGTAACTTGTCAAGATTGCAGTTAGAAATTGGTTGACACAAAATTGGAACTCAGTCTGATGTCATTCTTAAGACAGCGTCTGTTAGAGCACCAGGCCTGTTGCAAGAAGAATGCTGGGTGTTTCTGACTCAGTGAGCAGGCACGGTGCAGCGCTATGAAGTAGGCATTGAAGGATTTGTAGCAGGATTCTCAATGAGCGGTGATGTAAAAGGGTCCAGAAAGGACTGCTAGGAACCAAGGTGTACAATGACACCTGGGCTGTCAGTGGGGACAGTCACCTTGCTCACAATTGCAAAATGGAAGAGCAATGAGTATATAATTTGCATCTCTTAATAAAAATGAAGCACACTATCAAAATCTGCATTTTTAGTAACTCTAGATGCTAAATTGGAAAGCATAGACAATGAAAATATAGGGTGTGGACAGTCCCACGTTTTATAATGCATGAGTGGAAATTAATTATAATTGGCAATTGCTAACCTTAAGCAAATAAAGTGATGAAGATAACATTTTCATTTCTAAAAAATATGTTACAAATGGAGTCTTTTTAGTACGGGCTTTCGATAACCTACTTAAAACTACTATAAGTTCCATATTTTATCGTGTAAGAACGACTTATAAATTATACTTATTTTTTGTACTTATCAAATCTCTAAAACCATATGAATCCAGCTAAATCCACTCTGAAATATTGGGAAATTGAATCTGTTATTAACTCCAAAATGTCAAGATGAGATACTTTAATTTGAATGGCATCTTTTTGTTCTTCAGCATTTTAAAAATGAGGGCAATGCTAATTGAACTGACCAGACTACCAGCAATTGGAATTAGATTACAAGGGAGATTGGCAGTTTATTTTCAGGAATTTTAGCTTGACCTGTTAAAATACTTACAGTGTCATCTGGTCAACACCACTTTTGTAAGATTGTTTTCTGTAAATGCTAAGTCTAGTAAGAAGTAGCTGGTTACATAATAATAGAAATTAGCTTTGTGGATTTTTGTTTTTCCTCATAAAACCACAGTTGCTAATGATTCTGTTGTATTTCAAGTCTGCACTGTTGCTTTTCTAATTTCTTCAAGCTTATAATTGGAGCATTTTAAGGAGGATACCAATCCAAATTTCATGATAAATATCATTCATTATAACCTCTTAACTATAGCCTTTAGAGCTGTTACCTTTGAATTATATGTACAAATGCAACATTCTTCACCAACATTCTGTTTCATCTTGACTTTTAAGAGTCAACGTAAGTGCACATGGACTTTATTCAGGGGATAACATATTAGTAACAACATTTGTGAAGTAGGAATCCCCTATATATTACTACATGTAAATCCCATATATATTACTAACAGCTCCTCAAATGGTAGATGGGCTTTTTGAAAGTTACATAAGGAAAGAATTCCAAAAATGTGTTCAGCATGTGATTCTGTAGTCCCCATTTTCAACTGGCAGCCTCCCTGCATCCCTGTCTCTAGTAAAAGCCTGGAGTGTGAATCCCAGGAGAGCCAAGAAACCTTCCTGCTTTCTCACAAACTTTCTGACCATGGAAACTTGGGCAGATTTCCATAAAGTGAATTATACACGTAGTGTGGCATAGGCTTTTGACAACTCAGGAGGAAAGCCGAAGTTGCTTTAGCGGAAATGGGTAATGGTAATACCTACTTCCTCGGCTGGCTGTAAAGTTTCAGTGTGAGTCCATTTATATACATGGTATTATTGTTGGCTGCCTTCACGTTGAGTCCAACTTGGTTCCAGAGGAAAACTGCCCCATGGGTTTTCTTGGCTGTCGTCTTAACAGAAAGGGATTATAAGTCTTTGTCTCAAATAGTACATCTAGGTGAGTTTAAATCACCAACGCTTAGGCTAGCAGTCTAATGCGCTCACTTCCAACCAAGGACCTGTAGCATATGGTAAGTACTAGGTACAAGATGGCTATTTTAGTGGCTTGTGTTCCAAACATTGAGGTACAGCTTTTCATATTTGATTTTCATTCTTTTCTATAACTGCCTAAAATTGGCTCTTATTATTTGTCAGAAAAATTGCAGTTTCATCCTGAATACCGTAAGTGAAGGACAGGAATTTGAATCCGATTCATCTTACCCTACCTCTCTGTCTTTCCCAGTATCTTTTATTTTAACCTTCACACAACTAGGTGAGTCCCTGCACAGTGCAAATGGTTAGTATGCTTGGCTGATAAGGAAGGGGTTGGTGGTTTGAGCTCACCTAGAGGCTCTCCAATAAAATGATCTACTGATTTACTCCCAAGCCAGCAACCAGGAGCAACCCTTGGGGCCATTATCAGTCAGAGGGACTCACTGGTGATAGCTTTGTTTTATCCTCAGTTCAGTGAGGTCGCTGTTTTTATTCGACACGCAGTAAACCGCGACAGACAGTATGTTATGTGTCTCGTGTCCTCCCTGGGGGAGATGAAGAAGTGGGGCTTGGGACTCGATCTCATGCTTGGTTTATAATGTTCTCACTAAACCTAACTCGCTGCCCTGGCATCAACAAGATAGAACTGGCTCTATGGGTTTCCAAGACTGACTCTTTATAGGAGTAGAAAGCCTCCTCATTCTCCCAAGGAGTGGCTGGTGGTTCCAAACTACTGATATCGCAGGGAGCTGCCCAACGAGGAGCCCCTCGTGCTACCAGGGCTCACTTTCTCACTTCAGGTGCCTGGACATTTTTATTTCTAAAAAAGTTTTCTAAATTTCAAGACCTCTGAGTGACATGAAATAAATAATGTTTTATTTGATGGTTCCAAGTATTAGATGATAAAGGAGCCCTGATGGCAATGTGGGTTAGACTTCAAGGTCAGAAGTGTAACCCAGCGACCATGCAGAGGAAGATGAGGCTGCAGTCAGGATGAAGGCTGGGAAACCTGACAGAGGGTCACTTTGAGTCTCAGTCAACACGATGGCAGAGGAATTGGTTTTGCATGTTTGATAATGTAGAGTTGAAGGGAAGGATATAAGTAGACTAGTTTACTTTTAGAAACAAAAATATTCAGCCAGAACAGGTAGTGCCTTATTGAATTAATTTTATGTAATATTTTATTTGCTTGTTAGTCAATTCAAATTGATTTCAAGAGTATGATAGATGGATTATTTTGAGCGGCAAACTGATATTTTTATTTTTACATAATATGTTACATAATCTGCATGTAAGGGTTACCTATCTTATTTTGCCTTGTAGGTCTGTCCGAGAACCGAAAGACTTTTTTAACTCAACATATTTTAATGATTGGGATAATCTACCGAGTGGTTTACTTAAACACCATTTTTAAAGTGTAACATTTAAAGTGCATGACTAAACATTTATATTTTAAAAATTATATTATATTTTTAAAAAATTTTAAACAACTAAAAAGAAGGTATACTTAAAGCCCAAACTTGAATGTTCCTTGTGTCCGGTAGCCTTGACCACAAACAGCTCTAGGATTTCAAGATAGGCACTTTCAATCAACATCATCAGCAGGCAGTAATCCGGAGGAAAAGAAAAGGAAAAGAAAAAAAAGTAAATTCTGCAAATAAACAGCCAATTGTCCTTTAAGAGGAAGCTAATTCTTTTCCATCTATTTTTTTTATTACACTATTTCCCCCTCTATCTGCTTAGCTAGTATAAGGATAAATTTCCAAAGCTACCCAGTTGGAAAATAAATAGGTTCCCTGTTTCTCTAGCATGCCGATCTTTGCAAATGTAAATCAGCCCAACTGCTCTCATTTAAACTTTCAACTTCACAAAACATTAAGGGGTGGCTTTCACCAAACATTTTAATCCGTCCACCGAGAGATTTCTGCTTCAACATCATTCAAAATTGACTATCTGGTAAAGGGAGACCGCTATCAAAGGCAGTTGAGGTCAACATGGAAAATTACAAATAGTTTTACTGGGTTAACCCGACCAAACACCACTGTTTAAAGGTTAATTTGTTACAATGCAATATATATACAGATCTCCCTAGAGTTACTTTATTGTTAAATGTGCCGGAAACAGCACAAACATTTATCTTTGACCTTGATTATACCCAAAGAGTCATCATTAGGAAATTATACCAAAAAAAATAAAAGAGCACTTATTAAGCACAGTACAATCTTATACATTAAACGGACCTTTAAAAAACAATGTGCAAAATTAGCCAGGGGGAAAGAGCTTCATTTATCACACCAACCTTAAGAAGCTCGTTGAGATGGCTCCCTTAGGTGTACTTGGCAGTGCTACAAGGAGGACATCGGCGCTTTCCTAGTGGGGGAGCCTGTGCAAGCAGAGGAAGAGGACCCGCAGTACTTGTCTGGTGCTGAGGCGCTCGCCTTTCGTTTCAGAATGACCACTTCCAAATTACTTGAATTTAATCACATTTCAGTAAGTGTGACTAACGGGAAAACTTTGATGGGAAACTTTATGATGGACTTATTTTCTCGTTGTGAGATTCATTTTAATGCCTCTTCATTAGGTGAATCACTGGGCAATGATGAACTCTTCCAGAATCACTACCATGAAATATAAATATCATTCTTTCTTTTATTTTAATCAAAGTGTATATGAATCAATTTGTTTTTCTCTCCAGTGTGGTCAAACATCACTACTGGAGCCTGAAGGGTCACTTGATGCTCTTAAAAATGTTTACATGTGAAGATAGGATTCAATATTGTGTGTATAATGTTTCATTGTGTGAACTAAGCGGTATGACTTTGATCATGAACACGTACCTACACAAGCTCTCAGGTTCATCGGAAATTATGATCAGAAAAATAAACCTTCAAATCTGATTGAAATGGTCTTACTGCTTTTTCTCTCTTCTTATTTTCAGATTTTGTGTTGGAGACAAATTTTTCCTAAAGAATAATATGATCCTTTGCCAGACAGACTACGAAGAGGGTTTAATGAAAGAAGGCTATGCACCCCAGGTTCGCTGATCTATCAACATCGCCCCATTAAGAATACAAAGCACTACATTCTTTTATCTTTTTTGCTCCACGTGTATATAAGAATTGACCCAGGAACCTACTGAATAGCGTAGATCTAGGAAGCAGGATGGCTGTATGGAATAAAAGGCGGACTGCATCTGTATGTAGTGAAATTGCCCCAGTTCAGAGTTGAATGTTTATTATTAAAGGGGAAAAAAGTAATGTACATATTGCTGGATTTTTTTGCTTGCTATTCGTTTTTGTGTCACTTGGCATGAGATGTTTATTTTGGACTATTGTATATAAAGTATTGTAATATTTGAAGCACAAATGTAATACAGTTTTATTGTGTTACCATTTGTGTTCTGTTTGCTTCTTTGTATTGTTGCATTTAGTACAATCAGTGTTTAAACATACTGTATATTTATGCTTTCCGTATCTACCAGCTATTTTAAGTGAGCTGTAACTTTCTAGCAAAAAATTAAAAAAGCAAGTATCACTAATGATACACATAGAGATAAAGCAAATCTATCAGCATTAAAAATACTAACAGATAAAGAAAGACACTCACACAAAGCATTCTAGCAACACCCACAACCTACTGCCACTAAGATAAAAAGTCTATCAGTGTTTTCATTATAACCCCCTATTTTCAGGGGGTTAAAGATCAGCTTTAAAAAAACGCATAACAATTTCATCTCAAAGCACTTTCATTTTATACCAACGTGAAAAGTGCCATTTTTAGAATGACTTAATGCTTCGCAGTTATCCTTTTAATATGCTTTATTTGTGCTCTTTGCCCAGCCAATGGCTTTGTTTTCTTGTGCAGCCATTCGCCCCTTAGGTGAACTAGTGCCTTTGGGTATCATACGAACATTTCCAAAGGGTTCCTTTAAAGAAGCATGACCACATTTATGAAATAACTCGAAAAATATATCAATTTCTTACACAAATTTTGCCCGTGCCTGTCTACAGTGGCTAAGGGCTTAGAAACGTCATGGACTGATAAATTTAGGACACTAACATTTTGATTTGAATATGAATCTATGAAGCTGTGTTCATGGACCTGGAAGCTCGGATCACACTTGCTCTGTGAAGTTACATTTGGTCAGAGCAAACTGATGCCCATAGTGTCCTCTCGAAGAGAAACAAGGGGATGGACAAAACGCTGGAAACGAGTGATTATATATTTTTCTGTATCTTCTTGCCATTTATTGTAATGCTCAAAGAGTGAACACTTTGAGTTTGACGTCTTACTCTCATTGCTCTCTTGAAGTAATTACCCACTCAGCATACATCTCACTTAGGCTGAGATCTGTCACTTTATTTTTTAAAGGTGAAATAGTATTCCCTCACCAACATGATAGCTGATAAAGGAGAAAGCCTTCTAGCATCAGAAGTGATGGAGAATGGTTATGTACATTACAATTAAGGAAATTAAAAATGAAAATATGGCCCCGCTTCTTGGTTGCTCCCACTTTGCCCTTTTGCTTCCGCTCCTGTCGGCAGAATTACTTTTCAATAAACGTCATTCAGGTGGGCACAATGAAGCCTGATTTTCCGAGATCAAATTGAGTGCCGAGGGCTTTGGTTTTTACTTCTTTTTATGTCACTTGTACAGGACACAATATTTCCTAGTGTTTGCATACCTCTTTTGTTCTGCCAATATTATATGTTACCGATAGAGACTGATTGCTATACACGCATTCCTGGTTTGGAGTCAACATATTAAGCTGAAAATAATGCTGGTGTAAATTTGAGTTGTTTTAAAACAAAGCTATATCATGAACATGCATGTGAATCTGGATATTGCCTCTTAAAGAACATGGTTGTGTGAAAAGTGAATGATATGTATTTTTACAACTGCTTCATGGTAAAGTGTTCAAGTCACACGTCCCCCAAATTTGATGTACACTGAAGAGATAATGTCAAAAGTAGCTGCTATTATTTAGCCTTTGCATCTTACATTTGTTTCACGAAAAGGCTGGTAGAGCAAAACAAGCAAAAAAGCAAGCGATAAGGAAATGTTGCCACCCCGCTAGTTCCCAGAGTTGTTTGAAATTCATGTGGAGGTCAAGTTTTAACCATCAGTATCTTTTTCAAGTGATTTTGTTTTGTTTTGTTTTCAGATTTAAGCAGGTGGGGACAAATTTATCAATATGTCAAAATACTTGTAAATTGGGAGCAAAATGTTTTCAACTTCTTGAGGCTGTTTAACTATCCTTTCCACTCAAAGACTAAACAAGATTGTTTACTGTCTTACTTAATCCTTCCGAAATTAATCCTTACACTTTTTTTCCTCCAGTATTACTCACCTGGATTAAAGATTCAGGCCTTAATCTGTTTAGATCATCTTTAATCTCCATGAAATTGTAAAACAAGATAGAAATACATTTTCAGATATAGGCCAGTTTACAGCTAATTACCCATAAATCGTAGCATTTTTGACCAGAAGTACTAAACTAAACTGATTGTTTTGACTCGTCAAGTCCCTGGATTGTTGTCAAGTTTCCTTTTTGTGTTGTGAGCCCCGACCATCACTTAGCTTGTTATCTGATGCCTCCAGTAGGGACACCTCGGATGGAGCTGTGATGTCTCCAGCCGGGAAGTGCGGTCCCTAACATGCATCTTACATCGACTGCCTCTGAAGAAGGGCCCAGACCTTCCACCCCACCAGAGTGCTGGCTGAGTTTAAAAGCTGACCTGTGTTTGTAATTTCACTTTCATCTTGCTTAATAAATACCTGCTGGATTCTTTCATTCATTTTTTAATATTTGGATTTATGTTTTTAATAAAAGGGGTATTGCATTGTTTTGTTGCGCTTAATTGGCAAAATATAAGATATTATCTAGAAAACACATTAAGTTCACAAAAAAAGGATAAAATGTGTGGAAGAATATTTGCTTTTATGATATACTAAGTGTATATCTTAATAAGCACAGACAAAGTACCTTGACTATGTTCTTCAAATGTTATATTTAGGATATCTGAGCTCTTGCTAGTTTACTGCTATTTGCTTTTGTGAGGGGGAGAAATGTCAAAAATGAAGGTAGCAATTGCTGGGTGTAATTTTGTACATTTATATAAAATCTAAGTGATGTTTCTGAAGGCAACTGTGTTGCTGTTATTAGACAAAATTTCAAGTTTCTTATTTCCTGTTGAATGAATTAAAAAAAAGGAAGAACAACAACTAAATTGTACATTTCCCCAAAAGAGATATGTAGCTTAAGTGAAACAGGGTGCTGAAAATTATACCTGCAAGTAAAACATACCACACACAAGTGGTTTCCTGTTAGTTCTCACTTTAGGCAAGCCACTCTAAATATTCGCTTAAACAATTTCACAGAAATGAATATCGGCCACACATGTTTAGTGCTCACTTCAGTAAGTTGCAACAACAATCTGCATGTTTATTGTAATAGGCCATTAGCACGGAATACAAGCTTAGCAAAAGCTTTCCTGATTATTACTTTGTCTGAAAACACCATTGTAGATATTATAAGAGTGATTTAATGCTATTTGAGGTGAGGGAAAGCAAAGGTTTCATATAGCCATTATTTCTGTTGATGTTTACTGAGGACCTACTATGTGACAAGCCTTGTCCTGAGCACTCCTTTGGGGCATACCGGCTACTTGAGACAGATGGAGTTAAGGTATCAGTTCATTATCGCATGCCCATCTCCAACCTGTTAATAGCAAGCACAGAAAGTGTGCTCCTACATCTCCCTATTCAGCATGTCACTGAATGAAAGCTCCAGAAAATATCTCAAGTCATCAATGTGTTCAGAGAATTACCTCACACAAATTACTCATTAACTCAACATAATAAAAAAGAACATCAATTAATTAATGAGTCACCCTCAGATCACCATGATTACAATAGTGCACTGTTGAAACAGCAGTTATAAATGGAGCTGCTTCTCTTTACTCATTGTTTGCAATTGTCCCATTATTTGGCTGAAACCAGTGTCATATTTAACATATATCTGTAGGTAATTGTGCGATTGCTATCATCCATGGAGAATCCAGAAGGCTTACTGCAGATACCACCTTACAAATGGTCAGAAAAAGAAATCTAACCGGAAGTCAATTTGACTATAGCTTTCTTTGAAGCCAAGTTATTAGAAGGACTCAAGTTGCTAAAAGGTATAGTTCACATTGAGACTCCAGATTCCGGATATTATAAGAAGCTTCCTGGTGGGCCTGTCAAGTAAGGGTTGAAAATGGACTGTCCAGAAAATGGACTGTCCAGAAAATGGACAGTTCACATCTCGATGCTTGTGGGGAGAACGATAAATCTAACCCTGTAAAGATTAGCAGCTGTGGAAACCCCATATAGGGGCACCTATATGAGTTAGAATAGATTAATAGGAGTAGATTTTTGGTTAGCATATGCAATATTTAATTTTAGTAACTTCTCAAAAAGTCAAAACTATGCTTCATCATCACTAGTTTTGAAAATTTACTCCCAATGGGTACTAATGCTCATGGTGAGACACGTGAGACAGGTTGAGAGGGTCGGTGGGGATTGAATGCAATGGGAGGGGGGGGGCGGGGAGGTAAAGAAGCACCAACTATTACATGCAAAGTCACCCACGAAAGTTTCTCAACTATCTTGGTAAACGCCATTCCAATAAGCTTATAGAATAATTATAACAGTTCCCTTAGGTAAGTAAGAAACATCTGTTGGTAACACATAGCAGGTGTTAACAATTACACATACTGAAACTTTTTAAAAATGTTTTTAATTAAAAGGATTCTGTCATCTGAGAAGGAAAGCGTGTCAAGTCCAAAGACACTCCTGTTTCGGGTGTGCAGATCACGTAATGCACAAAATTATAAAGTCAAAATCATCTTGGATCAACTAGGTTTTGTGTTTGGTTCAGATCATTGCAATCAAAACTGAATTGGAATTCACGGCACTTTTCACACAATTAGTATTCTGGGCTGAGGTGCTGAATACTCATGAAATTGGTATAGCAGAACTGATTACAGAATATTTTGGCTTTACGGGCTAGGTGCTTGCGGTTAACTGTACCAAATTTAATGGACACAGTTCTAGAGGGAAAAAAATGGGAGCAAGGCACATTCAGATAATAGATTACTCAAATCTTTTTACACTTCTGGAGAAAAGACTCTAAACTCTGAAACTTTTTTTTCCAAAAATGCCTGTTTCTAAAATATCATTAGCATATGACTCATCATCAGTCTTTATTCATGAACATTTGCCATGTAACAGGCAACTTTCCACATCCACGTAATCTGAAGACCATCTTTGTGACCATCAGAAACACTATTATTTCTGATTTACAGTTCACAACAGAGGGGGGGCGGGGCAGGAAGCATTAAAATTGCCCACAGCCATCAACAGGTAGCAGATCTTAGAATTCAACACAGCTTGTTGGGTTCTAGAGCCCTATGCTTAACCACTGTGTTGTATTATCTCTTACAGGGTTGTCCTAGTTTATGATGCTGATAATGATATTAATTTTCCCTAAGAATCGCGATGAACTGAGTTACTGAAGGAGATCCAGTGATTCAATTCTTAAGCCTTTGACTGCTTAACTGAAAGTTGGGGGTTCAAACCCACCAGCTGGGAGACCAATCTTGGTGATCATAAAGATTATAGCCCAAGAAACTCTATGGAGCAGATCTCCTCTATCATATGGGCCACTGCAAGTCAGAATTGATGCAACAGCACGCAACAGTAAGGAGTTATCTGTATTTGAGCAATGAGGAGCAGTGGTAGCATAGTTAGTTGGGCATTGTGCTCCTCTTAACTGCAAGGTTAGCAGTTTGAAACCAGCAGGTGCTCTGCTCCTGGAAAACGTGAAAGATTTTGAAACCTCCATGGGCAGTTCTACTCTGCTCTATGGGGTTATGATGAGTCGGAACTGACTTGATGGTCGTGTTTGGTTTTGACTAAATACTTGAGCAAACATTCCAAATATTTCAGAGTTGATATCATCTATTAAAATGATATTTGGGGATGAGATAGATCATATTTTCCCAGATGAAAACTGCTAAGAAACTCTTCCTGTCTAGCACACCATGAAGTGAGTTTGAAAATTCAGGGTATTAAAAATAGGATCCCTGATTAACAGTATCTAGAATACTAGGTGGTCAGCATACATGAAACTATCTCACAATGAGGAAAACACATGCTTTGGTGAGGAGAACCATCTCGAAGGTCAAGATATTAAAAGTAGCTCACTCTTTGCTATGTTATACCTTGTCTAAATAAGATGAGGTAAAATGGGAAGTAAAGCCTCTGGAATAGATATCTGCCTAGACGGTGTGTTCACCAATCTAAATTCACTGGGTCTAGGTGAGTTATCAAGTATCTAAGTAACTCTTTAGTCTCCAAACTATAATGGTGAGCCAAATGGAAACAACGAGCCACCAACCTGTCAGCCCCATTCTTAACAGTTGTACCCCCTGAGCTCTTTATCCCTAACATAGATCAGAAGAGAAAACAACCACAGTTATTTACAGCCTCATATTATCAGGCAAGGAGATTCAAACCCTTGTTTCTTCAATTGCTTTGGCCACTTTGCTATTAATACCACAGCAACTTCCATTTGAACACACGCGGATCCAGGTCGGGCATCCTAATGTCAAGTCTCATGACACAAGGGTTTTCCTCTATTTTTCAGTACATAAGCAGGGTTGAACTGAAGAGCACAGAACTGTGATGATCATAGAGAAATGTAGACAGTTTGAGTTCATAAAAAATATTTTTTCTCATCCTAGATAGCACAAATGCAAGCCTGAGGGTGTTTTCATTGTGTGAGAACAAAAATCAGTTGCTAGGAATTGATTCCAATTCATGGCAATCTCAGGTGTGTCAGTGCAGAATTGTGCTCCATAGGGTTTACTATGGTTGAATTTTCAAAAAATGGGTTTTCAGGCTTTTCTTCTGAAGCTCTGAGCGACTTTGAACCACCAACCTTTAGCCTTGGACCTGCTCCTGTTAACCTTTTGCATTACCCAAGGATCCCAGAGTAAGCTCTTTACAGCATGATATTCTGATATATCTTTACAAATAGCCAGTCTTTTATATAGAAAGTATAATGGAGATACCAGTTGTCAAAAAGTTCATCTTGACCTCTAGTCCCTGAATGCTATTTAAGCATCCTCAGAATAGTGTCAATAGTGATAGAGCTAGGAAAAGCCATGGAGAACACATAGAAGGCAATATGGAATAAGAATAAGCAGTTTCTCTTTGGGGGAGAGCAGATAAAGCTGTAAAAATGCTACTGGACATCTACATTAAAAAAAAATGTGCCTGAGAAACTTTGGTGCATAAAAAATAAATGTTCATTGCTACTTATTCTTTGCTTAATGCCCAATTTATTAAACATATAACTCTAATAAATGCATTTTCTCTGAACATTTGTACACCATTTAAACAGCTAATAAAGCAAAACTTGTAAATTTAACACATCAGACCCAACCATTTAAACACTGATAAGAATTGTTGTCAAATTCTTTTAAACATTTCAATACAATTCAAAGTAATAAACTTCAACTACTTTTACAACACAGAAACATTACCTAGGGTTACATCTTATTATTTTTTAGAAATTTACTTCAAGCTGTAACAAAAATGATCACTAACTTAATACTTCTATGTTTTGACGCATGTTTTTATAAATTACATTACTAGTTACTAATTCTTCTCAAGGCTAGAGAAAATTGCCTCTGACTACTTGAGGTTACTACATCTGCTGTGTTGACTAATGAGTCTCGGTTGCAGTATGAGCTAGTTGCTCCATCCAAAGAGATTTAAACTTGAGCCAGGGCACATTC